GCACATTTCAAAACTGTACATTTTTACCTTGTTAATATATTATATGTTGTATGTATGTTGTATGTAGATCTGGAGTTGTAATGAAAGTAATTTCTCCCTGGGATTATTAAAGTATTTCTGATTCTGATTCTGATTAATGTTCAGGGTTTCCACCGACTTGGCATTGCACTGCTGTAACATTGGATGGACAGTCAAAAAGGAAAAAAAGGTTGAAAATTTGACCAGAGAAATCTCAGTTTTTATTCTACACATTTTTCTTCCTTGTCAAAACATGTCCTCTCCGGTAACCACAAGGCAACTCAACCATCATCAGAGTGAAGTGCAATGTCATTCCACTTCATTATTAATACTACTTGAATCACTAAAAACATATGAGAAGCAGGCAGAAATTCAGAGGTCCTGAACCAGGCTTAGTTAGTTACTAGTTCATTCCCAAATCAGCTTGAGGATCAGTGACAAACACTGAAGCGGTTCATTAGTCACGAGTTTAGTAAAAACTCAGTGTCACTTAAAAAGAAACATCTTTAAATGACTTCAGCACTGTAAATGTTGTTAAGTCTTATCAGACACTTTATGTCAGTTATTTATCGTCAGTACCACATCACACACGACCATGTGGCCATGCAGGTGATCACCTTCAAAATGTCATTTCGTCTAACCATCCAGCTGGCTCACATGCTTCATAAAAGGCTTCAGCTGAATGAGAAGAAAAGAGAAAAATGATCTGAAACACGGAGAACATTCTGACATAAATAACAACAAAGGAAAGCACAAACGTAGAAAATGTTTATGAACTAAATACTGACATTCACATTCATAATGAAGATGGTATTTGTATTTTGGCACCATTGTACATGTTACAGAATGAGTTTCATCTTGTTATACAGATGTATAAAATAAATGTTACACAAGTCAGTGTATCAAAACTTTTCTTTGGTATTATAACACACAAGATTTCCACCCTTTTTTACTGTACTGTAAACCAGACATTAAACTCAGTTTTAAAACTCAGTAATTCAGCATGAAATATTAGGTAGCCGATAACAAAACACAAACATCATATTGCATATCCAGCATATCATGCCGTAAACACTTAAAATAACAGCCGGTGCTTTTGCAAATATCACTTTCAAATATTTTATAAAGAAAAAACAAAATACTCTGAACCTCTAAAGTGCTTCATAAGCATCATTAGATAGTGTATCTGAATAGGAAGCAACTGTGTGTCTTCCAGTCAAAGAGGTTTGCAGTTGATCTTCCAACAACATGCTTTATGGCAAGAATGGCAAGCACATTCAAACACATCACAGCATGCTCACCAGCTTTTATTGTCTACAGTAAGTCTGTGAAAATATTATACACAGATATTTAAAAAATGAAGGGGTGGGGTATCTTATTTTGCCTTTATGGTTTTTCTGAGAGTCAACAGTAGATGGCAGCAAAGTAGAACTAAATACTGAGAAGGAAACCCACCAGACCACAGCATCAAAATAGATTATTTAGTGTTATCCATAAAAAAAAAAAAAACAATTTATGAAAGTAAACTGAATGGTCTGAGTATATAAAGATACTGATCAAATTGTTGACATGTGTGCAAAACACACATACCTGCATATATATAATAGAAAAACATAGCAGGAGCACATATGTATAGTCAAAAGAAAACCTGCCTGTTGTTTCAGCGTTAACATGAGATCTAAGGTGACAGTTTACTGCGACGTCCACAAGGCAGTTCTCAAAGATAAAGTGCATCAAGTTAGTCAGTCATGACCTGAGTTAAGCTATTTTAACTGCAGGATCCATTTTCCAAGACAGTTTGTAAAAGGTTGCATTCTACAGCAATGATGATTGGACATGTCAGCAGTCTCAAGTCTTTAATGATTGTAGCCTCTCTCATTTTATTCGCATTTTAATAACCTTAAATCTTATTTTAACCCCACAAGTTCTGGAAAGTTTCCACATCAAACCCACTGCAAAATTATTTGGTGCAACTTTTATTATCTGACAACTCCTGTAGTAAATTACTAAAAAGTTGCATGAGCAACCTACAGTGTCTCTTCTTTGGCTGGTGCACAAGAACATGCAACACACCAGGAGCAAATCTCTATCATTATAAAAGGCAAGTAAACATTAAAAAGGTGCCTGTTCTACAAATGATAATAAAACAAGAACAATCCAGCTAATGCGCCACTCAGCCACAGATTTAATGGCATTTGGAGTCAAATATTAACAGCTGGGGTCTGCTGAGCGTCTACCTGAGCCTGTGCCCTATATGCTCCTGCAGCCACAGCAGTACAGGCTGTATAGAGCTGGGCCCATCAGGCACAGCCTCTGTGTACATCTGCAGCAGTACCTCTTGTAAAACGAGCAGCAGGGGCAAGCTCATGCTCAGTAGCTCATACAAGGATGCATAGTCCTGGGCATTGTCCCTCAGGTGGCCGGCGAGGGCCTGTGCTGTACTACGCACACGGTGGGACAGGTACCATGGGGCGTTACACACAGCGCGAGTCACACTCAGGGGCCAACTCAGACGTTTCCTTATGAACGAGCTGAAGGTACCTGCTGAGGGTTGACTCTGTAGGTCTGTTGTGCTGCTGGACTCAGAGCTCTGTTCATCATCGGCACATCGCTCCTGAACTCTAGCTCCAAAACGATTCTAAGACAGAGAATGTCATGGATAGAGAAGTTAGATATTGTACTGTTAATATTGCTAGAATAAGATATTGTTAGAAATGCAAAGCACTCACTGAGCGTAGGGACAAATTCCTCCTTAGATTTGTCCCATTGTTGCGTTGATCAAAATGAAGTTTGCAGTACAATTTTCCTGTAAGATTACAGCAAAGGTCAGGACAAAGTAGCCACCTAAATACTAAACTTAGTTCTTTTTTTAGTGATATGTGGACAATAGCTGATATTTACCCTGTTCAGAGTCAAAGGCGTGTGCTCCCTGTCGCAGGGCAGAGCTGCAGGTAGAACAGCGAAAACACTCCCTGTGGAAGTAGAGCCCCTCGGTACAGACCCTCTCCACCATATAAACACGCCTCTCACATGAGTGACACTTGTCACCTGATGGGGGGAACGCCCTCCGAAATGAGCCGCCCTGGGAAACACAGTGATTGAGTTGTTGAGTGATGATGAAAATAAACTGGGAAACCATGACAGCAGATTAAGATGAGCCCTAATGTTAGACTTGTTATTTGTTAATAACTTTCTGTTCAATTACTCTTTCCCACTGCTTAAAGGTCCAGTGTGTAACATTTAGGAGGATCTATTGGCAGAAATGGGGTGTGTATAATCACCTTAGAATGAGCCATTTTTATCTACAGAGGCAGCGGGTCCACTTCTATGGAGTCTATTATGTTTAACCGCCATTTTTCTACAGTAGCCCTGAACAGACAAACCAAACACTGGCTGTAGATAGGGCCTCTTGTGTTTTGCGGCATTCGTAGTTTCTCAAACACACTTAGACTTGGAGGGTGAGCCGAGGGGGTTGCATAAGCATAAGCATAAGATCATTGAAACAACAGACACATACATTTAACATCTTTTGTAAAATAAACCAATATGCAAACTATTTGCTTAACAAAAAACAACATTATCAGAAAGAACAAGGCTATTATGGTTACAACTTTGCAACATGAAACTGAGAATGAAATTAAGTCACATTACTTTCTGCAAGACGTTTAAACTCAGTGTTCAGTGGAGGTGTCGGTATACTCAATCACAACAGAAGTGAGTAATACATGCAGGAATAGTGATAGTGACAAAATTGAGTGCAAGATAAGGAACACACAGCTGTATTAATGAATGTTTTCCACCCAGATCAAGGCTTTTCTGGTCAAAGTCACCTCCTGAATGTCTTATTGTTCAGAGATATCTTCTTGAGAGACAGGTTTGTATGAGGCCTATGTGTCTGGGGAGAGAGGGTTTTTTACTTTAAGCCTTAGACTCCTTTGCAATTGCTCACTAACATTCAGCCAAGAGGCAAACCGAAAGGAAAGCAAGTAAGATAATTATAGATCATCACAAGGTTATATGAATATACACACATTGTTCAGTGAGGACGTTTATTGTGATCTAAATAGTTACCCAATTGCTCTTCAGGAATCAAATAAGATCTGAGATTAAAAAAAAAAAAAAAAAGATGGATCATTTTGTGTAGCAGGAGTTGCTCTTTTACATTAAACTAGTGTAAGTCCTGCTATAACATCTGGCTGTGGAGTTGGAATAGGCTGTTTGGGTGGAGCAGAGAAACCCACAAAGTGCCACCACAAGAACACACACATCTCTTCTGTGAGGACTGCTGGTAATTAAAAGCACAAGGGGCAGAAACAGCAGTTAAAAGCAAAGCTCTCATGCAAAGCAGCAGTCATTCTGCATAAATCTGTCTATTATAATTAAGAAGACACATGAACCCAATGTGAATCTTGGGTTAAGCTGCTTGTTTTTTAAGGCAGTCCCTCTTTCTATCTGGAGGAAAGTGTGCTGCTTTTGGGATGCATACGATATGTTTAACCTTTACTACTGAAACAAACATAACATCATAAACATGAACTCTTCTTTTCAGTTTATTAAATACACCAAGAGAACAATAAGGTCCTGCAATAACTTCTAACCTCATTAAGTTTATAGTGGTTTTGTTTTTGTTTAATCTTTTAGAGAGACATGGTTTGAAACTGTATGTCATTGTGGTTTAACTCTCATTTTGTTACCCTGACAGGTGTAATATTTAGTCTGATGTAAATGGGTTAGACAAAATGTTAGATAGTATACCTAATAAACGGAGTGTATTTTAAATAATCTCTTCTCTAGAAAATAGAAAATATTTAATGCAGTGCCAAATATTGCCAATTTATAAATGAAAGATAAGCAGGCCAGCTGCAAAATGCTCTTTGTTCACCAGCTAGCCTCTCACTGTGGCTGTCTGCTGTTTGGTGCTGAGCAGGTAGTGTACGGTTGGATTTTACAGATTTTTCACTGAAAACAGTGGCCTGCTGAGGCTCAAAACGACACTATGAGAGCACCGAGAGTGAACCAAAACATTAAAGTTGCTGCCGGACAGCTAAACAATGAGCTGGCCTCCAGAGCAGACTCAGGTGATAATTATCTGCAGGTTTAATCACTACAAGGGATCCCTTTTTGTTGTTTTTACATTGACATTTGTTAAATCATTTTCTAATTCTAAAAATACTTTATATCTGCTTCTTACCTTCATAAAAAACAATCAAGTGCAAAAAAAAATCTATGTTGTGAGGGAGAAATTGGCTACATGCAACACTCGTGATCGAACATGGTGTGTTTCCACATGCAAATAAAGGCACTATAAGGGGCAGCTAGTGCAAAACACAAGGCCAAGGTGGGTTCACAAGCTTGAGATAGTCACCTTGAGGACAGCTGAGCTGTCTGCTGAGAACAACCCACAAAGGTGAACGGCTTTTTCCTTTATACTCTTTGTTTGAAACTCTCTAGCCTGTTGTGTCTGAGCTTTTTTCTGCAAGATGACAGGGGGCACAGGAATAAAAAAAAAGCCATCAGTCTCCTCAGTACAATGAGACACATTCTTCCACCAACAGATGTGGAGCTTTCTGTGTGTAGACATAATTAGGTAGACTAATAACCATTTAATACGCACTATACAGCTAAATGATGAAAGACCTTTCTGTTCCACTTTCCCAATAAGAAGCAGGCTTTGACAGCTAAGTGTGTATTGTCGGGAGGAGAACAATAATGTTGCTGTGTGGAACGAAGGCTTTCTTACTACATTAATTTCACACCCCACTTGATGTGGTTACTCATACTGTACTGAAACAGAAGACTCAGACAGCCACACACACCTGGCAGAGAAATCAGAGACAAGTACATTTGTTCAGCCAAGAAATATTGTATGTTAATAAATCCTACAGTGAAGTATTGAGTCTTTAAGGCTTAAATGAGTCAAAGTCTAATCTTAAAGCACATTAATTAAAAGGATAAATATAAAATTTAAGATTTAAATTTAAGATAGTTTAAAATAATGCTATGTGCAAAATTGGATTAAAGGTTCACCCTGTCAAAAGTTCAAAAATCTGCTGATTAGCACCTCTTAAGTCAACCGTTTATAGAACCTCCCTGCGTACTCTGGGAAGTCGCTGCATCCAGCTGTTGTTAGCCAAAATACGGTTATAGTACGCAACATTACCTAAAGCCACAAATTATCAGTTGTCATAATCGATTCAACAAATTACACAGATTGTGTTAATGAGTAGGTTTTTGGTAGGCATATATTTGACCTTTATAGAAAGCCAGGCTATCTGTTTCCCCCTGCTTCCAGTCTTTATGCTAAGCTAAGCTAATCAACTCCTGGCTCCAGCTCTGTACTTAACACACAGGTATCAATCTTCTCATCTAACTCTCAGCAAGAAAGCGAATAAGCGTAATTACCAAATTGTCCAAATATTATTTTAATGATACTGAAAATACTTTTAACCCACATCATACAGTATTATGCCAGTTAACTGCATTTTGTCAACTATAAAAAAGGTCTGGTTTTCAACACTTGAAAGCAACATGTAACATTTAACTCAGCTCCAATAAAAGCTCATTCATTTCTGTTCAAATTGCAGGTGCATCTGTAAAATCTCAGAAAAGAAGTCTCATAAGTCACCACAATGCCAAACAAACTGCACTGACAAGGAGGAACATTGGTCCAAATTTAAAACTAACCAACATGGACATAAAAGACACACTGCTGAGGTTGACCAGTAACAGTAAATTAACCCATCTGGCAATGTTTGCAATACTGATCTAGTTTAAAGTTATTTTGATTGATTGTTTCAATTATTTTGCCTGTATTTTAAGAAAACTTAAACCAGGTGAAACTGCATTTCAAACTAAAATACCTCACAAATCTTAATCTTTCAACACTAAATGACTTGATAAGGCGAACAATTTCTCAGTGCTGATCTGAGCCAACACAGGCAGACTTTTGGCATATTCTGAATAATCTAAATATATTATTTGCAGATGTAAGCCAGTGCCTGCAGCCTGGCCCTGGCCGACCTGTTCCACATGGAATCAGACTGGCCAATAATCATCCTGTGTGTCTGTCTCAGCATGTGCCAGGTCTGTAGGCCTGCTCTTGCCATTTTCGTCAGGCTGGATAAATTAGGGGCTGACTTCACCATCTGACTACACATTACACAAGCCTAAATGTATAATCAGTGCATAATATATAATTAACATTAACTCTGGGGCCTTTTTGGGGATCGGAACATGTAACAGTCACAGGGGTATAAAAAAAGGACAGAGAAGTAAACAGAAGAAAGAAGTTAAAGATATGAAGGAGGAGATAGTGATCACCTCAGAGACGTGTTCATCCACCTCCCTGAGGCGCTGGAGGACTCTTGACATGAACTGGATTGCTGAGTGGCAGGATGAAGGTGAAGCAGGGGTGTCTGGACTCTCGGGCTGAGGCTGGGGCTTCGTCTCAGCGTGCGTTTGATCAACGTGTCTGAGCTTCACTACAGAAAATGGATGCTGGGACTGAGGCTCCAGCTGGGGTTTGGGCAGTGTCTTTGGAGGCGGGCGGACTAAGTGTTCTGCTGCTTTTCTGATACTGATTTCAAACTGAAAGGGATAATATACAGTAGTGCACATGTGAGTTGTGATGTAACATATTTTTCACTTAGAGTCTGTTTGAAGAACCATACAGGTGGTTTTATATGTTTCAGCCCACACAAATACCTTAGAAGGCTGCCAACTGTTTTCAAAGAAAAGCGCAACTTTTTGAGGTGATAGTCATGCCAGCGCAGCATGAAACACAACTTGCATAGGTAATTCATTACCATTCTGTCTGCTTTATGTTTTGCCAAAGTTATGTTATCATCACATGGTAATGCAGCTGTGCGAGCAGCCAACAGCTACATTTAAATGAAAGAGACTGTTAAATTTACAATATTATATTCTTGACACATACATTTGCTTTTTGTTTGCTTCGTGGGTATGATTTTCCTGAAGCTTGCTTCACTAATACAATTGATTTGGACTACAGCGATTGCAAAGCGTTCTTTTTCATTCGTTTTTGTCCTGGTTTGTAAGATTAATGCCTCTCCAAAACCTTTACACAAGTTAATACTATATGGTTTTATTGATTAACCAAGACAATACTGTAGGTTTCACCTCTATAAGAAATACATTGGAAAAATGTACTCTGTGGAATCTATCTTTATAAGCCTGGTAATAAAGAAAAATCTAAATCTGTCTCTGAAAACTGGAAAATTGGAGTAAGGGTTCATTCACACTTGCATTTAAGATTAATAAAGGAATCATCACGATTGTTTGAATGTGCCAGCATCAATTCGGCCTATTTAATTTAATGTCAGTTTTATCTAAATTTAATGTGAATGCTTTTCAGTTCCACCTTTAACACAAACATGGATACTGTTGACCAAACATCAAAACAGCATTGACTCCAAAGGGGTAGTTATAACAAAAACTCTAAACTAGAAGAAAAGTTATATGCAAAAGTCTGCATAGTTTCTATGGTTTACAAGATTAAGTACATGTGTAACTGTGTATTTTTATTTATGTTTTATCTTTTGAGCTTTAAATCTAGTTTTATGCTAGTTTGATCTGGTTTCTAGTTACATGTAATTGAAATAACACATGAAGGAATCACATTCAGCCAGTTGTGGTGTGAAATTAGGGTCTAAATCAGTCTGGACTAAAGAATGTAAAACCAGCAGTATGGTCATTTAAGTATAGAACAAAAAGACAGAAAACTTTGTTTTAGGTAAATTGCATAATTTAAGCTTTGCACATGAGTGGTGTATGTGTTTGAGGTATATGTATATATATAGCATGTGCTTGTAAATGTCTGTGTGTTTGAGTGTTTCCATGTACATATATAACTATACATGTGTCTTGGGGCAGCATACAAACACCCCTCTATTTTATGTGAAGCTTTATAGACTGTCACTAGTTTTAAATGCATTTGGCTACTGTTTCTGTGTCTTAACTGGCGTCTGGCGGCTCCAGACTACCTGTATTTCAGGAGGAGGTTTAGGTGGGACTGGAGGCCTGAGTTTAACGCGCAGACTCCCAGTCAGGTCAAGAGTTTGCAGCGGGGAGGATCTCTCACAGTCAGACTGAGATTTTGAAGAAAGGTTAGAAAGACGGTTAATAAAAAGGCACAGAAATAGAAACGACTGAAAAGATTAAATGTTGGAAATAAAAGACAAGAGAAGGCTAGTATTAGAAAAAGGAAAATTTTCTTAGAATAAAACCGCAGACCACTGTCAGAGCTCCAGCTCACAACAAGGAAAATTTAAAACATATTTATGATCCATGAAAAGGAAGGCAAATAGTCATTCCTAACTATATGCAGGCTTGGAAAGATGTAAACAGTATTAAGTAAACAGATTGTATTCATACATGTATACTTACAGGCATAAACGAGTGGAAACCAAAGTCCTACTACAATAAAATCAAATCTCTGGTCTTGTATTGTTGTGTTTTTTACCTGTGTTTTCCGGACAGTGTAGCTGGGTGTGTTTTCAAACTTGGCCAGCAACTGAGTAGCCATTGAGCGCACTTTGTTTTCTTTGGGTTCCCGGCTCTCTCGTACTGTGGAGCCATTACTCGACAGATTGGTGGCCTAATGATAGACGGACAACAGACAAGATCCTACTATAACAACAGTGTTTTTGAAATAGTGATTATGTTTGACACAAGTACGCAGTTTAACAACAAACCTCTTCCAAATAACTGCAGAATTTCCGCCTCCTTTTGTAAATTGGATCTGTACCGTCTGACTTCTTTTCATCCTGAAGAGCACAAGGTAATAAAGACTGAATAACCAACAAAAGAGGAGGAGTTTCAAGCCAAAAACTGCTGAAAAGAATCTCATATGATTATTGAAATCTCATTTAACAATCCCATACTGCATGTATATAAATTAAATCCCACATGAACTGGAAATACAGATAATGTAAGTACATCAGATTTAAACATTTTAGTGTGAATTACCTTTGGTACCCGTTTCCTGGGCAGTGCAAGATTGAGCACATTATTATTACTTCTGACTTCTTTAGATGGATAATCTTCATTGTTTTCATCCAGTCCTCTGGAACCTGCAGTATAGCACATGACTGCATTAGAGTTTTTTCATTGTTTCCATAGTGCACAGCCATAAATGCCATGTGATATCAATGAATAATGACCATATAAATTACATAAATTATAAGACTAGTCTGGAAAAAAGAGAGTTACTGTATCTGTGTAGAGAAATGTTCCACTAAAAAATAAAGCATTTCTGAATCACTCAACTGCATGTCAGAGGAAGGATGGCTTTACATAAAACAACACAGTACAGGTAAGCATTAAATGCCCTTCAGTAGACACAGGCAGCTGTCTTCATGTTGTCAAAAATCTCAGACTATTGCAGTCCACGGCTCTCGCATGCATTCCTCTCGTGCCACTATACGTGACTGATAGGACTGCACAACACACACAGTTTTCAACAGGAAACCAAATGGCATTCAATACATTCTCTCTCACTGGAATTTCTGGGATTTTTTGTTGTTTTTGTTTGTAGATCATACATATTCTAGTCAAAAAAAAAATAAAAAAATAGTAGTAGTCTACAAAGTAGAGGACAAAAACAGTACATTAACAACAGGCATCAGTGCCTATAACTAATGAAACCCAGTCAAATTGATTCGAGCAGAGTATAATCAAGTCAAGTAGAGTCGAATAAAGTAAAGTAGAGTTGAGTTGTGTCTAGTAGAGAGGAGAGAGATGAGCAAGGTGGAGTACTGTGGATGATAGTAGAGTTTAGTTGAGTAGGATTAAGCCGAGTACTGTCGAGTCCAGTACAATACAGTAGAGTTGTGTCTTATACAGTAAAGTGGAGAAGAACAGAGTGAAGTAGAGGACAGCAGAGGGAAGTCGAGTAGAGTGAGGTCAGGTAGAGTCAAGCCCAGTAGAGCAAAGCAGAATACAGTGGAAAGGTGCTGAGCACAGTAGAGGACAGTAGAGTACCTGAGGCAGGTAGAGGTGTCCCACGGAAGAGCTCATAGTACTTGGACAAATAGGTGACCATCGTGGTCTTATCCAGCTCCTGATCCTCACTCAGCTCCTTCACAGACGTAAATGGTCGGATCCCAAATTCACGCTCACTAACGTCAAGAGCCAGCTGGAGGTTTGCAGCATGGTCTTCTTCATTTAATGAGTCAAAATCTCTGATGGGGGCAAAAAAATAATGATGGTTTGAGTAAAAAAGAAAGTCTTAAAAAAAGATTTAGGCTACAAATGTCATGGAAAAGCAGCTGGGGAAAATATATAGTTACTGTGTCAGGCTATAGTAGGCCTTCAGTTTATCGTAAGTCACAGTTTGAGATGATGTACCATTTAGATCTGATTCTGGTTTACATTTACCACTTATCACTTTAAAATGCATACTTTAGATTTCATCTAACATTTCACATTATTCCCAGTATCATAAGTGTTCAAGGAGCCCTGAATAATGAGACAGGAATGTAACAGTCACGTCTGTAACTGAGATTCTTAAAAGGATTATTTCCAGACTTTCAAGTCAGCTCAAGAGTGTAAGATAATACGCACACTGATATGAAAACAGTTAACGTAAGCACAATGGAATGACTTTACACAGCAACTTATCTTCATCAATTTTTAACCCTGTAGAGGAAGTGTCAGAAAATACAGAAGAAAATGGGAGCAAATTACTTCTAATGGGAGTAAAAAACTCAGCTGACGTCTTTACCTACACTGACGGTGTGCAGACAGCATCAGAAATAATGTAAAGAAGAGAGCAGTAACCTAGCAGCAGCACACACAAACTTTGGTGTTATTCTGTAAGTACAGAGGCCCACTCTTTCTTCCTTTCTTTCTTTTCTATGAACCTGCTCCCCTCTCTGCAGTCTGCTGACAGGCATGCATATGGAGGAGGGAAGAGGAAAAATGCCAGTGGTTCCTGGAAACTTACAGGACCACATAAAATCATAGTGGCATGTGGCGAGGTATGAAGGCAATAATTAAAGAGTGAGAGGATATAATTAGATTTGTAAATGTACTAATCTACAGTTGCACTAATCCCATTCTGTGTACGGTAGTCTAACCCTAAAAAGTGGAAACTACGTTAGATTGCTGTTTTTTTAAGTAGGACTTTTTCCTATAAGTGAGTACCAAAGCACATAAAGTCCTACATGAGCTGTTTTTCTCCATAACTCTGGATCAACAGATAGATAGGGCCATTATTTACAATTAAATACTACTCAATCCACAGTAATTTAGGCACTGGAACAACCAGTATTTATTTCAGCTGAGTTGATCACGTTTACACCCATGAATGTCCAGAGTCACATAATATATGCAGTAAAGCCTTTGAACGAATTATATAAAAAGGTACAAAAAGTATTTAGGCTACTGGTATGTAAACTTCTAGTGAATATACATTTAATGATTGACTAATGAATGACTGATTAATGAAAGATTATCATAGATGTATTGGTACAGGCACACACGTAGTTAACACAAAATCTGGTGATTTTGTTTTCTCTGGCATTTTAGATGCAAAGCCTCTATGAGCTGTAGGTGAAACAGACTCACTCACAGGATCACAATTAGCGATGTGTTTCCGATGACGCTTGAAATTCAGAATGATGAAAGCTTGTACTGTGCTAGGTACTGTTTACTCATTGTGTCATCTCAACATGTGTGAAATCTAGAATCAGCCAATTCACTCAAAAAAATCTATTTTGAGGTCACAGTGACCTTTGACCTCTGGATCAAAAGTGTCACCAATTCAGTGTCCAACCAACTGTGAAATATAGTCAATCGGTTGCTTAATCTCCCCTTCTCTTCCTAAGTTATGGTGTTGAATAATGGCCAAAAAAGTGTTCTCTAGGATATAATGATGTCACAGTGAAGTTAATCTTTGACCTTTATCCCATTAAACATGTGGAACATTTTGTCAATCAATTATCATTTGTGAGGGATAGCATTCACGAGAATGGGACGGACAGACGTACGGATGGACAATGGCCACAGTTATTTGCTGGCACTGAGGCATAAAAATGTGTGAAATGTACACAGCTGCACTCCTCTGTTTGCACCCTGTACTACCAGGTACCTTTATGTATAGGGCAGCTACGTATGAAGTCTTTTTCATATCTTTCAGCACACAAAGGGTCAAGTGTTTCACAGGTTGTAAGGAGGAGGTAGACAGAGCGCAGCAGAAAACACACATAGATCAAGGAGTCGCTCTCATGCCAAGCATATTTAACACACACACAAGAAACTGATTTTCTCACAACTAGTTGTTACAAAGCAGCTGCAGAATTCATTTAAGAAAAATAAAATAAACAGGTTTCTTCATGTGAATGTACGTGTGCATGGATTTAGATGGAAAGATACAATGCTGCAGGCTGGTACTGATATTGTTTGATGTGTGTTACGTACATCAGCTGGGGTTTGAACCTGTGGATAAGGGCACAGAGGGCGATGCCACTTTTCCAAGAAGACGTCAAGTCTGTGATAATCACATTCCTGTAGCCCTCCATCTGTTTCTGGCACCAGGTAAGAAGCCTCGTTGGTCTGATCTCTGACTCTACAAAAGAAATGGAAATCACATTTTTAGATAAAATGATGCAATTCCTCAAATAATTGATCACTTTTCACCACCAGAAGGTTTAGGCTGTAGAGGATAGGATGTTATATGCATCCATCAAGACATGGTGTGCCAGTAAATAAGATTGTGACAGAAGTGCTGTGAGTGGGTGCTAAGGTATGTACATATCTTTGCCATCTTTGTCTGAACATGTATTTTCTTGATGCCTTTGGCGAATGACTCAGGTTACTTCAGTTAAACATACAGCTCAGTTCAGCATGTAGAGCTTCTGTCTTTACTATCAGTTATACATATATATATAATCTGAACTCTGCATTGCTATGTTTAATTGTGACAAAGGAGGACGAATGTTTACTTTTTGCCAGTTACTAACTCATACTTAGAACAGGAAAATTACAGACCAAAGTGTTGTTCATACGACAATCCTATGAGTCAGAATACTACATATAATTGCATAATAGCAGCAGGCATGCTTTGAACTACAGATTGACTCTTAAAAACAAGACACAGGAATCTTCCATCTTCTGTTAAACTTGCCTCGTCTGCTGAGATTGACAGGCCGACGTATGGTGGCAGCGCGCTCCAGAGAGCAGGAATTCAGCTCTCCACTTATGTACAAGTGACGCACCTAAAACAGAAAGGAAAGGGAAAATGATTACAGTCAAGATGCTCAAGAAGTTGTGTGTTAAACATTGAGTCAATACCTAGAGACAGATGGTAAGAATCTGATATTGCCTTAGTGAGTGCTTCCTCTCACCTGGTGTGGCCTGACACAAGAAGAGTTGAGGTTGGGATATCGAGTCCCAGGGTCTATGGTGTACTGTTCAAAGTTTTTGGCAATGTTTTCAGGTGTAGTCTGAGGAAGTAGCCTGTAGATACTCTCCCTATAGAAACACATAGTGCAAGATATGTCACTTTAATGTGGTGGTGCTTATTCAGACTGTTAGAGTCTCACATAAATACAGACTTATATTTCTCAAACACAATGAATCTATGGTTGTGTGTACCTCTCTGCCAGTACTTCCAGAACTGTCCGACCCTGAGCCCAACTCTTTACCATCCAGGCTGTATCAAAGGCAGCCAGGAAGCCTCTGGCGCAACCCGTCCCCATAGGCCAGAAGGGCTGCACAGGAACACATAATAAATATATGAATGTGTGAATATAATGTGTCAGCATTCATGAGGACACCTCATTAACGAAATCGCTGTACAAATATTGTACACTAAATATTGGCATGATTTTTAAACTGTAAAGCAAAACATCACATGTGATCTAACATAGACAGACATTGTATAACGTACATACAGTGAGACGAGCCTTAGACTCAGAAGATAGGGCGTAATTGCGACATAGGGCTTGATATAGTGGGAAAACTCATGTGTGGGTGTGGTTTGTCTGTGATTAGAGTTTTTTTTTACAAAAGAAATGCATGTGCTTAAAATAAAAAGAAAACATAAATAGATGAATAAAAGAGGAAAAGAAAAAATATGGATGAATAAGAGTTGTCAGTGTTTATAAGAAAGACTGTTTGAGCAGACTTTGGTGATCTGTTAGTTGCTTTGTATCAAAGAGTTGACTTTGAACATTTTACAAACAGTTATAATAATGACCGTCTGTGTGACTGTGCAGATCAGCTGTATCACCCTACAGCATCTGGCCAGAACCAAACTCAGGCTCCAAACCATGACGACCAGATTGTGTAACAGCTTTTTTCTTCTTTACGCAACTGAACTCACTTGACTTTACCTGATAACCCTAACCCTTCCTTACCTCTAACAGACTGTCGCCAACCAGTGCTACGAGTAACTGGTGTCCGAATCTCTCCCTGACCAGCGCAGCGTTCTCTGAGGCGTGCATGCTTGTGAAGTCAAACATTGCTACATCTGGCTGCCCACAGTGGTTCATGGCAAAATCCAGCGTGGGAAGTTGGTAGTTGGTGCCAAAGTCAGCAGCCTCTCGGGCGTAGCACAGAAGAGCTTCCTGGTTGACATTTTCACTGCTCAGCAGCTTCTGGGTTTCTATGTAGTCCTGTTGAACAGAAGCACGACAGTCAGGAGAAGTTCACACATTAAGTCTGAGTGTAAAAGATTAATTTCTTTATGATTTGTCCCCTTAAAGAGTATATTTTAGTAAATCTACAGAAGGAAGTGAAATGTGTACAGATTGTGGACATGATATAATGAACAGCCTGGATCTAGACCTCTAAAGTGCTGCCAACATCTCCAGCAATTTTAGAGATGCAAACAGAATAATTAAATAAACAAAATGGCAATTCAGTTCGATTTTACTACAGTCAACACCTCTCTGATACAGTCCTAACAAAAACAAAGAAAACTGCTAGTTAGTATATGCTGAAGAGCTATTGCATTTGATTGCATTATACAGAGGTTTATGATATTAATTCTTTGTTACAATGACCCCAAAAATTAGCTGTTAAAAAAAAGAAGTAAAAATGAAAAGATACGACACTGTGGTTCACAGCGGATCCCATGACAGTTGACCTACATGTTTTACTTACATTAATGACGACTCCTTTGTCCAGCAGGCTCTGTTTCTTGGCAGTCATGACAAAGTAATGCGTGTTGTCCTTGTAGTACACAATGTTCTCCAGATCGATACCTGAAACAAATGATATGGTTTGAGAAACAAAATTTAAGAAAAGCACCACTGGGCAATCAAATGGAGAAGAGCACCTTAAAATGATACAATTTGGTTACTGATTATATTACAGCAAACAAATCAAAAACACAATCTCTCCGTCAGGTCATGGCAGTTAACACCACGATGCTTCAATCCCACCTGTCTCCTCTTTGAGATCGAGAAAGAACTTCTGGTTGAAGATGAAGGCTACGCCGCTGATCTCTTCTACTTTGGCCTCTGCGGTGGTGTTCCTGTTGATGAAGTTGGCTGTGATGGCGATTGCCAGCTTACCCCTGAACTCCTTTCTTTTGAAACCTGAGAGAAAATAAGACATTGAGATAAAGAATGAAACAGAGAAACAGATAGGAGGTTGATCTTTCCGAGAAAAAACAGTCCTATCGGCTTGTCAGTTAAAACCAGAGGAAATCTAGCATTGAACCATAATTACAAGGCAGTTATTTTCGGATAAGAGACAGCTTACCAAGGTGAGCCTTTTTATAGCGGAGGGAACAAAAGCCATGGATTGTAAGAAACCACCAGGAATGAACTGCTATCACCAAAGTTCAATCTTTTGCTTAATTAACAGGAAACAAAATTCAAGGGTTCTGTCAATGTTAACTTCCTATGTCCCGAAGAAAACTAAAAACCCCAAGCAGACATTAAAACAGACTAAAATTTAGATTTAACATTTTACTGGTAGATTCAAATTAACTTTTCAACCCAGCAATAACTCACTAACAATGCCACTAATTCTAAAGCTGTAAGTGCAGGAAGGAAAAGAAAATGGATTGGTTGCTTACTACAAAGTGCTGTATGAGACAGTGACAGTACTTTATGGGGGCAGAAGTAAAGTGTCTGAACTGGTGTCACGCATACTCTCACTGTTAGAATTTACAAAAGGACCTTTTCCCCTGTGCCGATCTGATTGTATTTAACTGTGTGTGTTACCGTAGCTAGGGCACAAAAGTAGCTCACGAGCAGGCTGACTGCAGGGGAAAATCATTTCCCCCAGGCTTCTTCATAATTGAAGAATGAGCTAAACATCTTGTTCTGCCCCAAAATGCCCTTTTTAGGAATAAGCATCTGATGTGAATTGGTTGTTAGATGACAGCATTTTTAGGAGAGAGCAAAACAGTGAGACAGAGAGATGGAGAGAGTCCAGCATGCATGCATCAGCTGCTGCATTGAGCCCCAGCTTTGCTCTATTTCTGTACAGTGTTTCAGAGTTTGATGGATTTTCTTTCCCACTGGGAGAGATCAATGGCTTCATAGTGTAAGTTTACAAAAGGTGAGTTTCATTTATAGCTTCACAACAGAAATAGGACTGTACGAGTTATTTAAAGTCCTATTGGATGTCTTGGACTTTCAGTAAACAGAAGGTCTGCTGGATTTTATCTGAGTTAAGTCAACACTAAAACATGAATTTTAGTTCCACACGTTGCTTCAGAGATTTTCCCAATCAATCAAACACATGGACTTTGCAGTAAAACAACTTTGGAGACAAAAGCGTCTAGTAATCATGTTGCTTATCTGTGACTGACATTCAAGTAATGTGTTAGGCTGGAAAAACAACTTGCTATATGCAAGATTTTATTATTGCTGAAGTTAAAAGACACACTAGGGAAGGCCAGTATGTAAACCTAATAGCCCTATTAATTACAAATATATTCACATATACTGTGTAACTGAAGCGCTGAAATAAAACATTTCACTGGAGTTAACATGTAACAACATCAGATCAATATTAACTTAACTCCTTGTTTTAAAAAACATTTCAATTTGAGAGTGACAGGAGGCTCCAGCCCTGTGATACTGGTGGTGGGAAAATATACATTTGGGTCACGGATTGTTCCTTCCTTAATCAGGCACATGTAACTTTATACTGTATCATACTTTATGGGCTAAGTGAAGTACATCCTTGAAGCACTTATACTGTCCGCCCCTTTTGTTTGGCGTCTTCTCACCTTCCAGAGTATTCCTGCGTCCGTCAGCCCCCACCACGACATCAAACTCAAAGTTAGCCACGGGGTGATCAGCAGGTCGGATTGCAGCCCTCCACCCAAGCCCTGAGAGATGGAGGCAAGGACAGAGTGAGAGAGGCAGAAGAATGTGTAACATAAATCCTAGGAATATTCTAATTGTGGTGTTTTGTTGCTATGATAGCAATAAAATAATCTTTTCATAATGAAGTGTAATTTCAAAATAAATGCCTAATAAAGGGAAAGCAAAGGAAATAATAATGACTTTTAGTATGTTCATATAGTAAACAGATGCTCCACAGCTAGCGGATCTGGCCTGCAAACTTGACTAACAGACAAAACACCATTTATGTATGAAATATTGGTGCTGCAGTGTTGTGAGACCAACACAGTAACAGCTTGGCAGTTTGTTGTGTAATATCACCAATATGGAAAATGCATTCCATGATGTCAAGGGCACAGCTAAGTTCGTCACAGCAGAACAGGAGGGATAAGTCTGTCTAAAATTAGGCGAGGCTCTTGTTGTTATCGGTGTGTGGATATCACGGCTGAAGAGCACCACCTGACAACAGCATGCAAGTTGCTTTCTTTCTAAGAGTTTATAATCCAATGTGGGGTGAGAGGGCCAAGTAGTCATCTGCAGTGCAGTTTACGTGCTACAAAACATTAAAATCATAAGGCAGCAGTGCATTGTGCTGATCTTTTCAAACTAAATGACATGTGATTATCAGAAGGTCATGGAAATTTTGAAATTCAGTACTCAAATGTAATCTAAGCTGATCTTAAGTGCACACTAGAAAAAATATCATAAAATGAGAATAAAAGATACTACATTTTGTTTTAAACAGAGGAAACAATGTTCATTCACTGCTATTGATGTGATAAGTAGGTTACGTATATAGCAGGCACACATTTGTGCACTAACAGGGAAGTCAGGCAACATACTTGACCTCTGCTAACCTCATCTAAATATGATGAAAAACTAAAACAGTGCCAATGTTTGTCTGCTGTTTATTGGTGGCTGTCAAGGAAATTAAATACTGCAGGATGAGAAGATACAGATCCGCCAGGAAGCCACACAGTATCTGTCCAATACACTGACTGGTGCAGCCTGACGTCTATATCAAGCTTTACACATTATTAAACTTCTCAACCCAATTCTACTTCATGTCCCACTTTTATTGTTTCCAGATGTTTAAATCTCCTCATCTTCCTAAAGCTCGCAAGCCATAAAACAACTGTCAAGTGGGTGAATACAAAAGCACTGTTAATCTATTGTTTGGACATGTAACTGAAGAGAACGTGTGGATGGATACCTTCATTTTCCTGATCCTCCGGAGGTTCCAGCAGCTTGACAAACTCCACATTGATGTGAAACTCCACTGCAACAAGCAGGGCAATCTTCAGTAGGATCAGCTGCAGCTGCTGAATGCCTATTAGACAAAGACACACACACATTAGTGTTTGCATACAGATGTTAAACACTGCCAAACCTTGTGTTTTGTGTTATGTCGTCTTGACACCGTTGAGAGCGAGGCCTGAACTCCATAACTCTCATGTCCTACCATCTTGTTGTTATGTTGCAAAGATTAAAAGGAATGAGTGCTCAAATGATATTAAAATAAATAACAGGGGAGTTAAGATTTACTTCCTAATATAATAAATCATTGTTTTATCATCATGTCCTGCATAACTTTTAAACTTTCCATCAATTTTCTTCTTATTGAAATCCTATCATGTATGTAGTAACATGGCACAGATTTTGTCTTTCTTTAACTTCATTCTACCTTATTTATTCTAGTGGTTATTTATTTTAGTGTTTTTTTTTTGTTTCTCTCTCTTTGTAAATCCTGATGTTTAGAACCTGGAGCACTTTTATCATTTATCATGTTGTATCATGTTTGTTCATTGTCAATCAACCAATCAATTAAGTCAATTTACAGTCTGGCAATTCACAGGGAAATTGTAACATTTGAGATGATGAGATGGATAGATATGAAATCCCAGAGAGAGAAAAACAGCACGTATTACAGCAGCCTCATCACTTAAAGCACACATAAAAAGCTATTAATAAGATACAATAAAAATCCCAAAAATATACAATAAAGCCCGCACTCACTGATGTGGTCTATGGCCCCAGCGCAGAATTTCCCGCAAAACTTTTTGGCCCCGAGGCCTCGAAGGTCATGAATGGTGTAGGGCCAAAGGTGCAGCACGTTGTTCCTGGAGAAGGAGTCCCTCTTCTCGATCACCACAACTTTGGCACCCATCAAAGCCAGCTCAATGGCCGTCCGCAGGCCACAGGGGCCTCCTCCGATGATGAGGCACTAAATAATAGAGAATGACAAATTGCCGTCATTATCCACACTAGTCACAGAGAAACGAGCTACATCATGGTGATGTTTATAATCACAGAAGGCTGAGACTTTTCCTTCATAAGAGGCTGAGATGAAAAATGGTTTGCATCCTACTTGTTTATTAACATATCAGGGAGCATTATAACATCTACACAGATCATGAGAGGGAGCAGCACTTTACTGCACCACTGGAGCATTTAGAAGTTTTGAGTGCCTCATTCAAGGACACTTCAGGAGAGTCATTCCAGCCTTAAGATGACTTATCCAGACCACCTTGTGTGTTTAAGGACTTTTAGTAAAACATAAGAAAGTTTGCACATGCCTGACAATAGTTTGCCAACCTTCATCAACCTAAACCATTATTAGAAACGTTACATATCTAAGATGTTATTCATGTATCGGCACCCAAAAAAAGCATGAAGTCAGTTAGTTGAGGTTACAGCGTCTGTCTGAGAATGTGTGGCTCAACCATGACATCATCCTCTTGAATGATAGATGAAAGAACTGACGCATGTGTGCTGGCAAACTGTATCTTCTTTCCTTCTAAACATGTTAAGAGGCACTCTAGGGAATTGTGTAGCGAGATGTGACATTGAGCCCAGAATCAAACCACTTAAAAGGGTTGATGCTGCCGTGCTCAGCGAGGTGGACAGTCTTTTGTCTCGACAGCCTCAGAAAATTTGCGAAAATGTTCTTTTATTTTCTTTCACCTCTCCAGGAAATGATTTCCATCAATCCAACGGCACAAAGAGCTACCGCTATGCCAGACCTCTAAATCCCACCAGTATGCAGACAGGCCACATATTTGAACAGGAGGACTCACTTCCTGCCATCCTATGTGTCCACCAACAGAATAACTCAAAGTGAGGACAGTGCAAAGGAGGTGCCACCCATCCATATCAGTTCTGTGAGACGATCAGACTGTGTGCTGTTTGCGGAGAATTCAGTTCCAGCTGACCAAAATCCCAAATCATACCCTAAATGGCTCTCTCCTGCTGCACCAAAAACAAGATGATTGTTGCTTTAGTCATGCCATATTCTCCCTCTGTGAGCGTGTGGCTGAACCCTGGGGTGGTTTCACAGTGGATGCGGGTGATGAGGAAGACAATGTGTCATTATGTTGCCTGAGGTTATCAGGATGAGGTAATCTCAGGTGTGAAGCACACACAGGTGGTGGAAGCACTGCCTGGACAAGCCTGCCAGCTGTTTTTTTTTCTCCTAACAAAGGGGTGAGTATTTACACAGCCAGAGACAGAGATGGAAGGATGTTGTCAAATGTCACAATTTACACGCACAGTACTAACTCAGTTTATTCAGATGTACGTTCACAATGTGCATGTTTCTATCTAATCTCGTGTAACTGTTTTCGTCTCTCTGTCTGTCAGTCAAGAGCAGTAACGGGCTGTTTGTTTTAGCCTGTTTCCATTCGCTGATGTATTATTCCAGATATGAGGCTTTTCCTGACAGCTTGCTCCACATCTGTTGAGTCAGGACGCACACACTTCCTTTCAGCTTCCCACCTGTGACCTCGCTCTTATCCCAGCTCCACCTCGCCCTGGTCACATTTGTCCCTGCCTTATTAATGAACCCGATCTGTCAGAGTATTTTTCATCTCTTTTCATCTAACAAATTTCCCCCCGGGGATCAATAAAGTATTTCTGATTCTGATTCTGATCTCAGCGGACAGTGTAGCCAATGTAAAGAGATCTTTACCATCACAGCATCATAATTTCAATGCTAGGAAATTAAAGCTGCAACCGACAATTACTTCGTCAATTACTCTGGTCTATAAAACAGCTGAAAACCCAGAAATATTTGGTTTCATATCAAATTTGACAAAGAAAAGCAGGTAATATCCACATTTGAGAAGCATTTCTGCTTGAAACATGACATTTCTCGGCAATACATTTTGCACAAGTTGATAAATTTGTTTAAGTTTCTAATCTTTGTCTCAGATCATGACACTGGAGCTTTGCATGGATCTGATGGAGGTGAAGTTGTTGTTGATTCACAAAATCATATCATGGATTATAAAAATAAATTGCATTTTTTTTGTGCACAGTAACTTTATGAGGAAGAAACACATTGTGGTTATGTGTCAGTGTCATCACAGCCAGCTGTGTCAGGCCATAAAACACGGATGACATCACATCCTTTAAATGTTGCTGCTACAGTGGGAATATGAAGAAGAGGCGCCGAGTGATTTCACATCTGTCACTGTTTAAAGAGCTGAGTCGCCATAAAAACAAGTAGGCACCTTGTGGTTCTCCCAGGGAGAGGAGAAATTAGTAATCAAGTAAAAGCAGATTGTCTGTCCTGTCAGTGATTAAAAGTGGATTCATTCTGCACTTTATAAGCAACTTATTAAATCTAAGACTTTTAGAAGAAAAAGGCAATCTCATAAATTTTCAATAAGTTAGTGTTTCAATAATGAATACAATCCACTGTTTGTACTGGTTTACAACTTTGGCACACAGTCCCACTTTTTATTTTACAACACAACCCTGTGGATTGTCAGAATTACAAAATCGGACCTAAAACGTTTGTCTCAGAGGTTTAAGAGAGTCACACTTTCTTCAAACCTTGACCTCGTCTCTTCTTACCTATTTTGGTAAAAACTGCTGAGCTCACAACGAAGCATTTAGAAACACACTTTAATAACAACCTGGCTCTGGCTCCAACCTTTAAGGAAGAGTCTATAAAGAGGAGCACACACCCTCAGTACAACTTGGGCCAAATATTCATAGTTGCTGAGTGATGCTGTCTGTTTCTCTGCGCAATAAAACACCTTTTCAAGCTGGGGGCAGCTGATGCCTGAAAGGTAATTACACTCCTCCAGGTTTTCCTACTTTCCCTCATCACCTTCATTGCCAAGCACACCCCACCGCCAACACCACCAACCCTAACATGATTTCTTTGTCCCCATTGCAGCCATCTCTTCATAATTCAACTCAAGAATAGCTCTTCTGTGGCTCTCTTCTTACATGTGTTTATAGAATGTCCTCTTTGTCTGTAATTTGTTCTCTGAATGCGATTGGCTGTTTTTGTGTTATTTGGCTGCAGGGTTAGATGAAGCAGTGCATAAGTGTCAGTTTTTTTTTTCCCCTTTGTATTTATGAAATTCTGTGTTTCATTTGATTATGTGCACATCTGTTGCTTGTTGTGTGTATGTTTCTTGGCTGTGATTGTATAGCATTTTTACTGTTACTGTTACAATTTTAACATATGGTGGGTACACTGAAGGTTTAACAATGCATTTGTCTATGAGATACTGTTATATGATGTCTGTGTTTCTGTACAGCTTTGTAATGTAGCACCTGCTGAGAGCAAAAGAGTTAGTGCAAAGCAATGTATATCTTTTTAATTTCCTGTCCTGTATGTTGGCAGCTGTTGCTATGAAAGAGTGAGTGTAGTTGTATCTTTAAAGGTAGAGAAAAACAAAGAGCAGATTGTTTAAGAAAAGAAAAAAAGGAACCACGTGAGATTAAGTCACAAAGGCACTTCCTAAATCATAGAACATCAACTTTAATGATGTATGAGCTAAGCCCTATGATACTTCAGTGATTTGATTTTTTAAATGTATAAATGCTATGGAAAAAACAATGGCAAAGTGGGAAATAAATCTAAAAATGTATAATATATTTTGCCAAAATATTTGGAAGCGACAAAGAAATTAAAACAGTTTCTATTGTGTTTCAGTTCACATGCATTGCTCTCTGTCAATTCATAATCTCCATCTGCATCAGCCTTGGATTAGTAAACTTTTGAACAAAACATATGAATAAATTTACCTTGGTGCCCACACAGGACTGGCCTTTCTTGTACTCCTTATGGGACATCCTCTTGTCTAGCTTACTCCATAGGGCTTTAGCCTTCCAGGTGGTGACCTTCGCCTTCAGACTGCTGTAGAAGGTGCTGTTGTCCGCCGGGTCGAGGTCCAGCTGTCTGCAGAGGACGTTGAAGGCCTGAAGGGCTCCTTTACAGGTCGAGGCCTGGACAAAGTTCTCAAACAGCTTCCCCACATTATCCCTCTCCTCCTCTATTTCTCCCATCTTCCCCCGCTGCTGTGGATGGTTTGGTGTACTGAGACTCCTGCTTACTCCAGCGCTCTCTGCCAGATGTGGCTACACCCTCAGCTTGGCCCGTGCCGTCATGCCCAGTCTGAGGAGGCAAGACACAGTCTGATGTCATCTCATGGCAAAGCGTCTCACACAGATGGCCTTGAGCAACTGGTTTTTCCATATTCTATCATTAGCTTAATAAAATTGGACATGTTTCATTACATTCAATGGTTTATATGATTTAAATGTTGAAGTAATTTAAGCTGAGTTGACAACCCAGCTGCATTTTATCTGCTCTATGACTCCAGCTTACATTTCCGACTTATCAAGAGGGCGCTCAGTACCAGTCTTCATTTAGAGTCGACATACATTTTGAAACAGTTAGCTTAGCTTACACCCACGTTGACGAGATAACATTCCAAGTAGAGACAAGGCAGTGAGATAAATACTGGAGAGTTAAAATGAAATGAGCACGCCTGTCGTTGTCAGACAGCCGTAGAGTGTATTTACTACTTGTGCTTTATAGAGGCATAACCATGTGTGCCTATAAAAGGAACTGTTTGTAGTTCTAGGTTGGACTTACTGGTTCAACATAGAACCAAACTTTTCAACAGCTTCAAGGTTTCTAGCTTTACACAGAACAAAACTATTGAAACTTCAACATGAGGTATCCACCATGGACAAATAATCAAAGTTAAACTGTGTTGTTAAAAGATCAGATATTCATTGGGCTTTTGTAGTAGAGTCATAGATTATAGGCAATATTTTTTTTTCTAACATGACGTTCTCCATAATAGAAGAATAAACCTTCTTAATGGTATCAACAACATACACGCTACATCTGTTAAATGCTACATACAATATACATACATATTGACTCACCACTGTTGAGTCTTTACTAACAAACAGCTTAGCTTTCTTGCTGACAATTGTACATGTTGCAGTCCTACATAAATAACATTTCTACTGTATATACCAACATGAGAAAAAAGTGGTTTCTCTTATTGCAATTCAAAGAAACACTGTTTATTTCTGTTGAGCACCTTTCATTCCTCTGGCTCAGCACTGACCATGGACGATTTATTTATCTTGTGGTATTTTTCATTCCAGCTGAAAACCAGACAATGTTTTCAGCAGTAAAAAGAAATGTCTGAAACTAATTGTAATTCAAGCCCACACTAACGATAGATTGATTGCCTTGGATTGGGTATGCATGCTTAATAGTCCACCTTCTGCTGATGTATGTGCATTCAGTAAGCTTACATATGGGCCTGCGTGTGAAAAACACAGTTACTAAAACACACGTTCGTATCAGAATAGAACAGGACCGACAGAATTACAAATTATTATAAACATTGTAGTTTTCTTTTTCCTGCAATCAACCATCAAGCATTTTGAATATCATGCCAGAAAATCTGTGCCGGAGCTCAACATCAAAGCAAAATGGGGGAAATTTTCTCCATTAAGGATGTGTGTGTTCACTTGGGTGGGGACCAGAGCTTCTGTGAGTTTTGGGAGAAGTCTGCCTTTGATATTTTAATGTTCTATGGAGCGGGATGGGCTAGGTTAGAGGAGAGGTTGGGCTAGCTGTGCAGGACTCAAACGGACCCCCACAGTAATCCACTATCAGTACCAGCCTGTTGTTTTACCTCACTGATTACGTCACAGGTCAGATATCATTTTATCTGTAGGCGCAGCTTTCACCTTTCCACCACATTTAGTCCATTGAGTGACGCTACGATGTCCCCAGGACCTGACTGAACTGTTGACTTCAATAACAGCCACTGTCAGACGCCGCCCCAGGGTCTCTGTTGGTGACATGGCTTTGCCATGAAACTGTCCATGAAGAGCTTTAGCCGCATGCAAAGTTAGTCACTCAATGACCATTCAGTCTTGGGTCTCAACGTTGTTTTTGACTGTGATTTGAATGTGGTGACATTTTGAATGTCATTCGCAAAAAGGACCAGCATTTGTTCCTTTGCTAAAATTAGCATATTCATTTGCACGAGATCCTGTTTGGCTGTGTGTTTGCATCCTGTTTTGATGCTGCTGTTTTTGTTTAACATTACAGAGAAAGATTCAGGAAGAGAAAGGAACAACTAACCAGCCCAAAGAAATACTGTACAGTCTCAGGTGACCTTTAGCTTGGTTAATACACATTTGTAGCTTCAAAAAGCCGCTGTCCTGTTGGTAGATACTGTGGCCCCCTGAGGCCTTTCACAGCAGACATCCAGCCTCAAACTCGGTGATCTGACATTCCTTTGCCACGTGGCTACAAGAGCTCTGACCTGCTCCATCAGCATGAGTCCAACACTCTGCTAGCCCTCTCACTGGCTCCACTAGCCAAGTAGTCATAGGACCACCTCTATAGTTTTTGGGGGAATTTGCTCTCTGATTGTCAATGAGTGATGAGCGATGACTGAGACTGGCATGATATATGATGCAGGTGCTTTAATCTTTCATGCATGGCAGCAGACTGTGATGGGAAAATTGCTGTGTATTCTACCATGTGGTATGTGGAGTGTTTGGGGCCTACATAATATCTTCTATAAAGCCTCTGTGGAGTTATTTCTTTTGACAGTTGAGTTTAAAGTTAGTTTATTTGAGATTGTGAGATGTACAAAAAATGATAAAATGGATAACTATATTACAGAGGCGAACTTCCATTTTCATAACTGCTGATTGTGGCTGTCTTTCCACAAGAACAGCTAATAATAATTTTATGTTGACATCATTTTATTCTAAACTTTGGACCGTGTTCAATAATCTCTTGTGCCTCTGGTGGAAAGTTCACATAAAGAAATGTTGACTGCACTTATGCTTTCACAATTCAGTCCAAATAAAGTGGTAAGGAAAGGCACAATTATTGGAACCATCTGTTGTACGAGTCTGCGAGGACTAATGAAAAGGTACCACTTACTGTCTTCATAGCCAAGTCAATGCTCAAAACTCAAACTACATTGTCTCAGGCAGAGTCCCATGACTTCACCATCTCAGTCTGACAGAATGGAAAGTCACTTGTGGGGAGACAGAACAAACCCACAGAACGGCTGTAAAAATACAACTAATGACAGACGAAGCGGAAAGAATACACATGCGCACACACACTAGGCATCACAGCCGAACCATATAATGCTTAAGAGGATCAGAGAGTTTAATGGCGCGCAGGTTTTAAGTGTCCTGTCTGTTTAGAAAATGATGTGATTGAGTGAAACTGCCTGCAGCTAATTGACAAAATGAAGGACAGTGATTCATTTCTTACAATGAGGAATTTATACATTGATATTTGCAGTTTACTAGTTTATTCAAGCACTTCAATCTTCTGATACTTTATATAGCATTTTACCATTTTTATATCATTACTTTACCGTACAATGACAAAGAGAAAGGTCTGTATGATGGATCTGTGATTGAGTGTATATAAACATTTACATATATATATATATATATATATATACACACGATATACATTTATACATAATATAAAAGCACTGCTATGTGTCTAAGAGACATAGCAAGCTACCAGTGTCCAGTATGATAGAGGGGGAATTTTAGGAATGTGAAAAATGTACCTGTTACACCTGCACGGCAAAAAGAAAGAAAAGTCAAAACACGCACGCTTTTACACACAGATATCCAACCACATTCCCATAAAACACACACAAGTTCCATTAAATAGTTCACGGTTTCATTTTTATAGACTAATGTGACTCATAATTTGTAGTCTACAACATGGATGGCCAGACAAGCAACAGCTGAGTAAAGTCTCACAGGACAAAGCTGGCATAATTCTACATTTCTCATATTGTCAACAAATCCCATACAAAACCAACAATGTGTTACTTTCCAACTTCCTAACCCTCTCTGTGCCACTCAGCCCGCAAGCCACATCCTTTCTCTTTAAGACTGAAATCTTTAAAAATAGGTCAGAAATGTATAGTTTAACTTTTTTTTAAAGCTAAATAATGTCCTAAAACAGCTGTGACACTGCGGATTTTAGCAAAAATACATTTTTAGTAGCACTACACTATACACTAACATTAATTAGCCATTCTTATCCCAAAATAATTCATTTACTACATTTACAGTATGACACCCGAAAAGTGACCATGTGCTTGCCAGAGCTACTTGCATTGGCTGGTTTCATTTAGAACATAAAGTATAGCTCTGATACTGACAAAGCTGTAAAGACACTGAACCAAGTGTCAAACCAGTGACGCAATGTCTTCATTTGTTTCTGCACAGCACATAGCTTCAGGCTATCAGAATACAATAGGAAGCTGACAACACAAGGAAAACAATGGGAGTGCTGGGAAATGCACATACTGTAGTGTAGCCAGCCAGCAACAGTAATTACAAACTGGACTGAAGAAAATCAGGAAGGAACCCTCTGTAGGCCTGATAAGCAGGCAGTGTGCCTCAGAAAACAGTACACTCATGTGGACTTCAGCCCGCCGGCTCTGCCCTTCACCAGGCCCCAGAGCTCCACAGTATTATCTCAGCTCTCTGAAATCTGGCTGCGTGTTCGGGCAGCAGTGCCAAAACAAAAGAAGATCTGTCGTGAGCAAGGTAGAAACACTGGCAGAAGGCGGTAAATGTCAGTCAACTTCAGAGGAGAAAACTGTGAATTTATACAAACAGGAGCAGGCTTGTGAAGCTTCAGGGCTGTCTGGCCCTCGAGGTGTGCTCACCACATGGCTCCTTTGGATGAAGATTTATCTGGACACAGTGAGCTTGAACAATTATTCTGACTCTAACTACGCATGCTCGTGTGTTACAATGAATTAGTCGGCTGAATTTGTTATCATAACAGTGAGTGTGTCCAATGTTCTAAGATAAAGAAAAATTAATGACAAAGAAAACTGAATCACATCTCCATTAGAACATTACAAATTACTGAATATGGGTGCCCCTAAGCATCAAAAATGTAGTAAATATATATATATATATATACCACAAGACAAACTGCAAACTGACTGGCACTGAGGGTCAAAGATCTGGGAGCAACTTTCATTCATAATATCACAGGGGGGCACAGTGAAGGTTTAGATGACAGCCTAGCAGGAATAGCAGATTCTGTAAGCCAACTATCAGTAAAGCCAGGCTCAAAATAGACAAGCATCATGTTGCATAAGAAAACAGCATATGACCTGAAAAGATATCAACAGGGCAAGGACCTGTAAACAAGAGGCCCTGTAAACAAGAGGCCCTGTAAACAAGACAACATCAGGCACAAAAATGTACAAAGTTCATCCCAATGACAATGAAGTGCTCTGGGTTCACCTATGGTAAACAGGAGCAGGAGCCGGTAGCAACACAGACTAAGGATTCTCACAAAACTACAGGACAATGTTCGGACATCTGGAGCGCTTTTGGTAGTTCACTGAATCATGCTGATGCACTGGAAAAGAGATATGATGCCCTATTTTACATTTCAAAAAGCTCTGAGTGCTGCAGCACTCCCATCCACACTCTTCCTGTGGAGTGCGTCTGGTTTCCTGTCCAGATCAAAGCTCAGAGGAGAGCAGCCTCTGTAAAATTCCACCTCTGTGATTCTAAAGCATGACTAGGATAGGTTTCCATTTGCCAGATGGGACGTGTTAATGACATCCTGTGGTGAATTTACCACAGCAAAGTCTCCTTGTACCTCCTTCGGTGGCTCCATCTTTAAGTGTGCTATTGGTTAAGATGTAAAATGTCCCAACATATCTCGCAATATGGCAACAGCCTTTACAAAAGCAGAAATAACGTTGTTTTTTGATAGAGCAGCAAAGGTTTTGTTTGATTGCAGACTAACAGGCCACAGGGAACAACATGCCCCACCTTTCTCTCATAGTTCCTCTCTCTGTTTTTTGTGGCTGATGCCTAGACGCATGTCCGTTTTTATGCTGTGGAACAAGGAAGGAAACATATTGCAGAGAGGAAGGAGAAAGTTTATAACACCTCCCTGGCAATATCGAGTACAAGCTTCCATTCACAGTCAGTTCATTGGGCTTTGTGAAATACATTTACATTGTTTTCATCCACAGCATGACGTCCCCACATATCGTTATTACTCTGATTTATTAAGTGACTCACTCATTCATTCACTAGGACATGAATTCATTGATAATTCCATTTAATTGTTTGATCTATATACTTATCTATGTATCTCTTTAACTACAATATTTGTTGTTTCTTAAACTAAAATGTTAAATATGTATATGTGTCACATTTCTTAGTACTGATTATATCTTTACATGTATACAAGAAGCTGTAACCGTGCATCTTACAGGTGAGTAGTCTTACATAAGTCAAATGCAGCACAGACTTATAGGAGCGAGAGTCTGAAATGATTCGGTGTGTTATCTACAGTCAACAAGATATGTAAAAGACGGGGTAGTTAACATCCATTTTTAGATTTTTCCTCAGCATCATCCTACTGTAGGCCCCTGTTTGGCTGCATGCTTAAGGGGACCTGTGCAGCTTTCTGTAACGCTGTTTTTATCTCCACATACTGTCGTTAAGTTAAACTCCAGTAAAGCTGGTAATTACAAACTTAAAATGAAAGGCTGGCACAAGAATTTGCAGTCGTAAGCGACTAACGCAGCAACAGTCAAAGGACAGTTTGAAAAATGTGGAAGTTTGTATGTAAATGTCAACTGAATTTGTTTGCTGCACTGGGTTTGTTACACGGGTTTCTCTTTGTGTTATACAAGAGACATTAGTTACATTCGTTCACACAGCTGTAATATACAGCCTTGTACGCTCGTGATGTTTGTATATTCTCTTAGCTCTAAGGCAACTGTATTTGTTGAAAAGAGAAGAACACGATTCAGAGTTAAACCTGTAATTATGGAGCATGTTTAGAACACATAAGCCTTGCAGCTATTTAGGGAAAAAAACACTGTTTAGTAAAGCATTCTCAAAAATTCTATTGATCCTATCGAGCAATACACTGTTTACTGTGACTTCCCCCATATTTTATATTATAGCACATGAATGAATAAAAAAAAAAGCCTTACTGAGAGGAAAATTCCAGCAAGAGGAGAATAATGTGGTTTGCAGTTGAATGTTTATGCACAAAGAAGGTTGTTGATCTCCATGAGCATAAATCACACAGACCATCAGCGTCTGGGCTAGAGACCAGATACTATATGTATGAACACTGTTTACATGTTAGCACGTTCATTGGCAGAGCCTCTCTGTAATAAAGTTTGGACCTTGATGGAGAAAAGGTATCTTCCACAGTTGTAAAGTACACAGGAAATGATTGCTCACACAGCAGTGGGAAGGAGAAATAGCACTGTTTGTATGACTCTACTGACCCTCCCTAAACATGTTGCTGAAAGAACCATGCATCATCTTGCAAGACGAATGAATCATACCAGACTGAGTGCTCATGCGGTATGTTGAAACGTGGAAGAGGGAGAAGCAGATTAGCACTGCTGCATAAGTTATAAAGCCTCACAGATTAATCATAAAGTATTTTTTTTACGAAAACCTTTTTGAGACTGGTTGTTTATTCCTGCTTCATCCGGGATCCAGTGTTTATCGCAGGTTAAAAGTCTGCGTATTTGATCAGTAGCTGCATATTAACCCCACTAGAAAACATTTACAGGCAGTTTCTGTCACTCACTGAGCTTCATTCCATAACCTGACAGTAGAGCCTGTCAACACCACACCTTTCTTTATTAGTCAGTGTCACTACAACCCCTAAAGACAGCTTGAGGGCTATTTACAGCCCCGAGCAGGTGGAGTCAGTCCTCAGAAAGGCTGAAAAGCATTAAAAACAACCATGCAGATTCTATTAACTTGTACTTACAGGACCGCTTTTAGTTCATGGTGGCCTTGGTGAGGGATGTATAACCTACATTGACCTGTTTATTTGGTTTTTTTTACTGTCTTTGAACTTACAGAAAGGCTGTGAGTCCAGTTTTAAATGAGTTTGCCTTGAGGCATGTATGAAAAGCAACTACACTGGCAATCAAAAGATTCCTATGGCGTAATCATTGGCATACCAAAAACTGCATGCTTGCTGTTGAAGTGGAGATAACCTTCTTGTTATCAGGGAGCAGAGACAAGCCCAGATGTCTGACTCCTCTCTCAGACACAGTTTAATCACCGCTTTCACAATAAAACACGTGTTCATAAACCTCCAAACTCACCAGAAACAATGACACCTCGCCTACAACCAAATGGCAGCATAACAAATCACAATTATCTCACAATCAGCGTAATTGATACTAGTGGCCAGTGTCAGTTTAGAGTTCATACAGTGATCCGTGGGCTGCTTGGTGATCGCCTGTGTTTCATTCCCTGTGCCAGAACTTTTAATATAACTTTGTGTGGTTGTCCAGTACAGCCCTTGTTACTTACTACTGCCATACATGTCTTTATTTTTTATCAAACAAAGAAAACAGCAGCTCTGTCAGGTGTCTCACACCACTCACTTGTTTAAGAAAGACAAAAAAAAAAACTACAAGGTGTATTAAAAAAATAAAAATAAATAAAACCCTACCTCATGTCTCAAGCCAATCCAAACTCTTCCTCCTTCCAGTGTCTCCAGTCAAACACGGTCCTGGACTTTGTGTGTGAGGTGTGTCGGTGCTCAGTCAGCCTGACAGGCAGCAGTTTCTCTCTACAGCTGAGTCCAGTGTTTGAGGGCGGTGCTCTAAAAGTCGGACACATCCCTGAGCAGCTACTGTGGCGGCTGTTTAATCCAGACGATTCAGACTTTTCTCATGCCAAACACATAGTTTACTACTTAACCGACCACCCACGGTCTTCTGATAAGTCTGCGAGTTTCCGCCCCTCAGGTAGAAGCTGCTAATTAAACAACAGATTGGATTTATGGGGTTTAATTCAATATGTGTGGACTGCAACTGGAGCTAGATAATTAAATACTAAAAATTTGAAAAGGTATAAACCTATTAAAATGTAAAGATTATGAAAACAGGTATAGCTCAAAAGCGATTGTGAAGAAGGGAACCTCATTATGTTACAATACTTTGAGTTTTCAGGTGTTCCTCATTTAGCATGAGACCACCTGGCGCCATACGTCCGCGGACCGCAGTTAGTCAACACATTATATATTTTACAAAGTGTCAGCAGAAAGCGCAGCCTGAGCAGCACATGGACAAAAGCACTGAACAAACACTGCAAACGTGTACCCACACAGACAGATATTTGGTATCTGGAGTCCATGAAATTCCTATGGAAGCGAATGGCGCCATCTTGTGTCCAGACTATGAAACTACAGGTCCAAAGTATTGGTTGGCCCAAGTTATAAAGCTGTAGGAAACTGCAGTGGCAAATGGTTTGTGGTTTAATTTGTCAATGGAGATACAATGGAGTTTTATTTTTTATTTTTTTCAACAGCAAAATGTCAGTACAGTTACTATTTCTCTGCCAGAGAATTGTTCCAATGAAAACTGCTCAAATATTATGGGTATAAAACATGTAACATCTATGACTCACAGTTTCTGTCCTCCATTAACAGCTTAGTTATGTAACTTAGCTGAATTTGAATTAGCGTTAGAAGAGGAGTTGTAGAGGATAAAGTCATTTGGAAAATAGTCTTTATATAATATATAATGTGATATAGGCTAACCTACTGACTACAGACAGGATGGTTGACTTTTTAAAGTTTGCTTCTTAATACTAGTTAGCTATGTGAGCTCATAGTTAGTGAACCACTAAAGCTAGCTCAAGTTAGAGTTAACTGCTAACTACTTTGAAGCCAAAATACTGTTACTATGGTTACCTGCTGTCAAAAGGTAAAAAAAATTACCTTGTATAATTTATTTAACAAATTTATGATTTATGTCTGTCCATGTGTTGTTTGCTTTTGCAAATAAAATAACCAAAAAATAATTTTAAAAAAGAAAAGGGGGAGGGAAAAAAAGCTACTTGACCGGAACTGTTTGAGGTGTCCTGACCAAGTTTGCAAACACCTACGAGCCATTCAGGAGCGAGTGGCTGAAACCGGCTAATGTGGTTAAGGTTTCACCTGTTTAGGGGGGTGTTAGAAGAGATTCACATGTATGAGGCCATGCTGACCCCCCCTCATCCGCTGTGGTGACGCTGTTTGTGCTCCTCAGCATCCTCGCCACACCCTCCTCACAGCAGCAGGACCAGCAGCAGCAGCAGGACCAGCAGCAGCAGCAGGACCAGCAGCATGATGCGAGTCGTCCCGTTAGTTTTGGCTCTCGCAGCAGTCTGCAATGGCATCCTCCCTGAGATAGTGGACTCGGGCATCAGTCACATCCTGGAGGATAATTCCGCCCAGCAGGGACAAACGGAGCTGGACCGCATGTTTGTGGAAGTGGAGCAGCTGCCCGAGGATCCGCAGCCAAAGCCCGAGGATGCGTTTCACCAAGTAGGCAGCCAGTTGCACCTCTCAGTCAGCATCTTGCTTTTTTTACATGACATGGCGTTATTTCACTGCTGCAGACAAGTTCAAGTTATTGGCTGGTATTTAGAGGATCTTTTTGAAAGGAAGAAAACACTTCAATTTGTAGATAGAAGTAGCTTAGATGCAGAGGCAGCAGTGGAAGGAGCTGGAATATGGTAGTGACTTCTTAATGCATCTTTTTACCTGAAATCTAGCTCTGATAATGTCTCCAATCCCTCTAGAGGAACAACGAGAGCGTCAGTCTCAGCCCTCATCCCAATAACCTTCCTCCAAGTCATCACAATGAAAGTGCTTCTGATAAAGTGATTGACAGTGAATCTGTCCACACCTCAGTAGACCAGGTAGGCTTATTAACAGTCAGCAAAAGTCTCTAAATATGTTTTCTTTTTGTGAATGAAACTTAACAGATGTTCCACCTTCACACAGGAGACAAACAACATTACCACAGCCGTCCAGTCCAGTGACCTGGGGAACAATATTGATCATGTAAGTGCAGCCTTAAGTGATACATAGTCCGGTAAGAAAATCAATCTTTAAAATAGAACTCTTGTTTTTCATACGACCTTTGTTTGAATCTCTCAACAGGAAAAGGCCTCAAGATTGCATAATGTCTGGTAGAAGCATCACAGCCACTGGCCACTTGCATAACGTCTACGAATGAATGAAACAGTGTGTGTAGGATGTACAGCGTGCATGCGTGTCTTCATTCAGCCCTAATCATTATTTGCCTGCACCATGTGTGAAATTAAAGTTGAAAATAAAAGATGCTGACATGCAGCTCAAGTGCCTTTATCAAAATGATGACTGTACAAAATTCTTGATAAATAAGTGATGACGTATCCTTTTGCTTCTTATAACTGAAACTCACTTTCAGGGTTAAAACATCTAACAGAAGAGGTTCTTATGCAACAACACGAATTTAGAAACATTGTTTTCTGATAACTTCAATTATTTGGCTGAGAGTGTTACAGCACAGTTGATATATGTATCTAAATTATCATGATGTGGATCATCACTTTCGGTATATTGTAAGCAGAGGTCAATAGCTGTTTACATGGTAACTCTGGGAGAAGAGTCTGTCCTAGTTACAAGAGGTAAAAATAAAACTGGAGGAGGCGCCTCTTTCTTCATAAATATGTTACAGGACTTTTTCCCTACTTAATTAGCTGCAAGCATATGAAAGCTAAACACTACATTTATTTAGTTCTTCATTTTGCACTCTGGACAAAACACTGTGACCTGAATGTGTATTAAATCCAGAGTTTCTCTACCATGGGACTTGAATGTGGGGTCACATGATATGCAGATCAGCTCTCTGGTTGCTGGTGCACTGAGAATGTTTGGACTAAACCGTGGAGCTAGAAAAGATTGAAGCACCCTGACATAACTCTTCCCTTCTCTTCTCTTTAGGGATGTATGACTGATGAGGACTGTGGAAAGGGAAGGTATTGCCTTTATGATATGCACAACGCCAAGTGTCTGCATTGCAAAGCAATCGATATGGTAAGTGAACCCAAGTTACCTTTATATGAGCACCTGCACTGTTTTTGGCTCTTTTTATCAGTCACTTTCAAACACACACAGTCACTTCCAGGCAGCTGGGGTTTCACTTCGACTGCATTGCAGTGTGTCCACAAGTGTAATTGGAGTGTGTTGTTTGTGGACACTCTGTCCTATGAGCTTCACATGAAACAACAGCAAGTGTCAAGGTTAAATAAGAGCTCTTCTTTTCCCTCTTCTCACTCAAAGGACGTTTAGAACAAAAGGAATATTAGTAATGAGAGCCTTCTCTGTAGAGACTCATCCATTGGATTTATTGAAGACTCAGTTATTACTGCTGGTTCTGTGTCATCACTGGATGAATTAGCCTTGGTGTAGCAGAGTTAAAAGCAACGCAAAAGGATAGAGATACTGGCTGTCTGCCAAACAAGGGTACAGTGTACACTACAGGCATAATAAATACACAGAGGACAGGATCTGTGTCTTGTCAAAAGTGCTGCACTGAAAAACTCTGCATGGAAATAACCAGAACACTGTTTGCCGTATCCCCAAATTAACAATTCATAGAGGGTATTTAGGAATAGGAACGCTATCAGAAACCAGTTGACCTGCTCATCTCATTTATATTTAACCAAAAAAGCATCAGCAGAATCAATAATGTAATTTATGCTCTGGTGAGTTTTAGTCTTTTTGAACTGCATGCGGTGTTCTCATTTTTGTGACATCAGCGTTACACAGAATATCTGGATTAGATGAAAGATGTCTGCTGAAGTGTTAGATGCTTGCTGAGATATGTTTTCAATGAAAGCTATTTTTTCTCTTCCTTCAGTCCTGCACTAAGGATGAGGAGTGCTGTGGTGAACAGCTGTGTGTATGGGGTCAGTGCAGTCAAAATGCAACAAAAGGAGAGGCTGGCAGCACTTGTCAATACCAGACTGACTGCAACCCAGACCTCTGCTGCGCGTTCCATAAAGGTACAGTACGAGCACACAGTGCAGTATATGCTGCTCAGCGATTCTCTGCATTCTCTTAGAAAATGTATCTGTGTGTGGGTTTTTTTTTGTGTGTGTTCAGCCCTGCTCTTCCCTGTCTGCTCGGCCAAGCCCATTGAACGCGAGCGCTGCTTTGGTGCCTCCAACCACCTGGTAGAGCTGTTGTCCTGGGACACACAGAACGAGGGACCCACAAAATACTGCCCCTGTGCAGGAGATCTCCACTGCCAGCACCTGGGGTGAGTGCAGCACATTTAATAGCACAGAATGTCTTAAATCTTGAATGATTTTATTCAAATAAATCCAAGATATTAAAGTTTTACATGCATTTATTTGACAGGCGAGGGTCCATGTGCCTTAATGGAGAAGACTCGAGTGAAGAGGACTTGACAGACACACTATATTCAGAGATAGACTATATAATCTGAATTAATTCATATTGCCTTCTGAACAACGAGACAGAGGTCTCCACCGACACCAGTTTGTTGCAAAGAATCTACTAGTACTAGTACTATAGCACCTTCTGTTTGCCAGCTCAATCCAAAGTGGCAAAAGCATGGAAAATGTATTAAAATATATTTATTTGATTTGCTTTAATTGAGACCTGAGGTTCACAATCAGTGTTTCTGAAACTATCGATATAAAAGTCACTAACAGAAAACAGGAAACACTATATCTGCTGCATTGATACTAAACACTGGTTTCTTGAATATTTGCTCTTTATATTGTACTGTAACTCTAATCCTTATCTAATGCTATTCCCAGCCATAAAATTAACTCAATAACTTCTCACCTCACTGTTTAAAATTGTGAGAATAAAATAGAGCAAAGTCTGAGCCACCCAGTTTGCAGTCTCACTGCATTTACTGTGCATTAGGAACAAAAAGAAACCAGATACAATCATTCTTTGTGTACTGTATAAAACAGTGTCACAGAAGCAGGCTATAATAAATGTTTGGAGTAGCAAGGATCACTTCCCTCAGCATTACACATTTATATTCATCTAAAGGACGTCAACACTACCATGACATGTCAGCAGAACAGGTGTGGTCCTTCTAAATCTGGTAATGGTTTCTGTGAACATGACTGGACTACAACAATTGCTCATATTGCTTAAGAGCAAATCTAATTCTAGCCGCTTCAATATCCTAAAGTTGTTTATAACTAAGCTTTTTTTCTTCTGCACTCTTCCCCATTGTTCCTGAGAAAATGTTTTGGCAAACCTTGCTGCTTGCTGCTTCCTAGCAATGTCAAGATCCTCATGTTGCTTTGTTCCAAAGTGGTACGGTTTGTTTTTGCCAAGATGACACGACAAGAGGAAACACTGTCCAACATGCCATGTTGTTATTTATTCTGTCATGTACATTGTTTGTATGGATATGTATTTATTATGTGTTTTTCTCCTCTTTTATATACATACTTAATCTGTATTACTTTATTTCAAGTCCACTGTTGTCTTTCAAGCAGTATCTCATATCCATTATTAACATACCAGAAAATAACCAATATACGATCAAAACAGTAACTTATTTGACTGCCTTCAGGTTGATTGTGAATTACTCTAACCTGTTTTGATAAATCTGATGGTTATCTGATGGCTGTCTCGAGGTCAGTTCAGATCTTTCACAGTTACAGGATAGTAATTGCTGGCCATTGAGACGAATCTTGTAGACATTCAGCTGAATGGTATAGAGCAAAAAGGGGTTCTATTACTACTCTTTATACTGCAAAGCTTAAATTGTAATAATGCTCTACGTTTTGGTCCACTGAGCTGAATACTGTGCAGCACAATGCATACCCCAGCTTTAGAAGCATAAATTGAGTTACCATTTTATTAGGTACACCTGCACTGGTGTGTTTATGGGTGTTTGTAATATTCTGTACTCAAAGTCACCATTACAAGAATCACAAAGATAGGATTGGTTGTAAAGCAACTGGGTTGCCTGAGATTGTGCAGGTGTACCAAATAAACTAAATTGTGTCATTTCACCAACAATTATTTTATTTTTATACTGGTATTTTTTCGGCCTTTTCCTACAGCTGCCCTCCGGTGAACCTCAAATCATAATATGTGTCTCTTGAGTGTGGGCATCTTTCACACATTTTAAGGCCCTGCACACTGACACAGATATAATACCTTGGCTGATTAGTCCTCTGGGCAGGTGGCGCTCTAATGGAAATCACGTCAGCAACTTCTGTGTACTAATCAAAATGATAATGTGTGAACAAGAGACCATCAGGGAAAAAAATGGGAAGACATTTTGATATCTCACAGTAGAAAAAGCACAGGTATAAATAATAAAATGAATTATGGATGAATTCCATTTAGCTGCTTCAGTTTCAGGGTCCTGGTATTGTGCATGCTGCTTACTGTCATAGCTTACTGGGACACTTGTATAGAATAGAGCAGTTGTGCTTTTCCTACTGTAACATAGCAATATCTGCTATGAAAAAGGCCTGTAAACACCTCATGTTGCTCGCTTGTGCTCTGTTTTTCATGTACAGCAGTGTGTTTACATCAACATCTAGGCTGTAATACTAATGCAAGCAATACATGATCTATGTGTGATTATAGCAATATACTTGTGCTGGATGTTAACTTGCATACAGCTAAAACTGTCAAATATAAGCTCTGCACTGTTCTTAAGCACTTGAAACCTGAAATGCAACTTGTATAACTCTTGCTTTTAGAAAAATAAAAGTTTTGTTTAAAACACATAATTAAAAAGGTGAATATGATGATTTGTGAGTTAATTTAAGCCATTTTAATTAACAGTGACATCAGTTATGAAAAAAAGCATTTTAATTAATTTCTAAAATCATCTTAAACTATTTTCACACAGGATTTAAATCTCAAAGAAATAAACATCAACAACCAAAAAAAAAAAAAAGTTTTTCTTCAGATATTGGCATTTCTACAGTGAATAGCTGGTGGCAGCATCAGGAGCCCAGAGGGGCTGGGATGCTGAACTTCAGTCCTCAGACCAGTTGCCCGGGCAGACTGCGAAGTCCAGCGGGCTTTCGACACCCTTTGGTGCCAGTCTATCAAGCAGCAGCAGCAGGTAGAAGCGCCAAAAAAACAACCTCACGCTCTTTGCCAAAAACCCAGAGAGAGCTCCCTCCCCTCAGTACAACACCACACACACACACACACACAGCGCGGATGACACTAGAGATGTACACCCAATCCACATGGTGCAAAAAAAAAACACAATGAAATCCACTTTCTAAATTAAAGGTTAATACAGACAACAGATGTGTGCCTGGTGCCTCACACGACCTAATTGAACGATTAAGTCCGGGGCAAAATAATAATTTACAACAAACAAAAAGAAAACAAGGAGATTCTTAACATAGTCTACTTGGTTTTGTTTCATTGTACTTTGTATTAAAGGACCAATAGCCTATGTATCACTATATCTAGTGGAAGTGATGTAAAAGAGGTAAAGCTCCTATAAAGCACAAAGAAACAGCGGTAGAGGCGACCCATGACAACACATTACTCTGGCATTTATAGGAGCAGCAGAGGAGCAGAAACAACCTCCAGTCTACAATTTCTTTACTTGTTGCTTTTTCTTAATTCAACAAATCTTGTGAATGAATGACGTCTCAACTTGTCAGTCACAGAGAGAGTGAGGTTGGCCTCACCAGAAGAGGTGAGCCTGAGGAAGGCTGGATAAGGAGTTATTGGTTGTATGTGCTGTTGGTTTTTAAGTATTTAAAAAGGAAGGTGAGTGATGCAAGATAACAATGATTTCTCTAACAGAGCAATGCTCATAAAGTGTGAGCATATGGACAAGATGGTCACAGATGAATCAGAATCAACGCCATTCTTATAACAGGAAGAGAAACACGCAGCGATGTGAAAGGAGACGAGAGACTTAAATAGACGGGATGGATGCCTTCCAGCCTGGTTTCACAGTCCTAACATCTCTGCATCCATCTCCGGAGCTTTAACGTTCGATTGATTTGTCTATACAGTATTTGATTCTTTTTTTTATCTGTATTGAATAGCTTTTGTACTTCCCTTTAAACTTTACAGTACAATACACTATAGTGCACAATAGGGTTTCTGAACCAGTCCTGGGGCTCAGAGTGGAGGGTGAGAGCACGTCAGCCTCACAACGCTGCTTGATGTTCAAGTTACTGTCTGGCCTGACGCTCAGACTAGAGGCCCGTAGCCTGGTTGCTCTGCTGCAGCAGCCAGACGATCCAGATAACCGGGAGCAGTGGTCTGTGCCTCAGTCCTGCCCCGGGTCCTTGGCAGGGCCTCCGTCCAGGTAGATCTTGAGGGCCTTCTCCTTGCGTGGCGAGTAGCTGACACGGTGTCCGGTCTTGAGCAGACGGCTGCTCTCCTTCTTCATCAGCTCGTTGCGCTCATCCTCTGACAGCTCCATAGGCTCCTCTGTGCTGTTCCTGCACGGACAAAAGAGAAACTACATTTAAAATTTAAAATACTAAAGGCCTGTGTTTTTGTGTGTCTGCTTTGTGCATGTGCTGAGTAAAAAAATACAGTCAATCCATCTTCATCTATCTTTTGCAGGGTGACTGGAATATAGTCTTATTTACATCATCACAATTGAATGCTTCTTACACAACCAAACATGGGTTCATTACCTGTAGAAGACCACAGCTCCATCGTCACAGATGTACAGAGGCCACACGTTAAGAGTTGACACCTTAGGGTTCCAGTCCAAATCCTGATGGATCTCCAACACAGAAATATCACAGGGAAATGTTCCTCTACCCTGCAAAGAGCAGACGGATGGATTTCTCAGTCAAAGATGGAATCATTTAGAAGAGGGGAGACTAAAGCAAGATGAAAAATAAGTATCTCACTTACCTTTGCAAATTCCAGGTTTTCGAGAGGAATATCACTGATTTCACTGAGCTGCAAACGAAATATAGACATCCCAACAGATCACAATTAATGGTACTTAAACATTAGTAGAGGTTTAATTACGGTTGAGAACACTATCATTTCCATGTTTTTCTGGATGAATAAACTGTATAAACTGGATGACACATACCTTCTCCTTGAGTTCTTCTACACTGCTGCTCTCCAAAATCACTTCCTGGAAGGGCCCGAGCTTCATTGTAGCGGGGCTCCATCTCCGGGTCAGAACAGCCAGCTGTGACATTGACTTCATTTTCTCTGGTTCTGAGAAACAGACAGGCAGACAATATATCAAGTTTTATTTTAACTGTTTATTTCATCTGAAACATCACCTGGAACATGTTTACCTGCAGTCCAGTACTAGTTTTATCTGCAGGTTTTTGTAGCTTCATGTTACTGGTTATCCAAAAATAATGACAATATCAATAATTTCACCTTGTGATATTACCTCGAGTCTCTGGAACAAACAGATCATTTTGCATTTTGTTTGGGGATTTTTTTTCACCCCTTGGAATTCCCTTTCACTTTATGCCAAAAGGAAAAAGTGGCTTTCAGGGATTTTATATCCGGTAGCTAAAAATGTTAGCAATACAGCCTCATTATTGAATTACACATCCCAAGCTACAAAAACCCTGTAACAGCCATTCCAACTTGTTCGAAAGAAAGAATATTACCATTGAGAACTTCCAGGAAAACCTCCCAGTTGGAGGAGATGCTGATGTCTTCTTCATACACATGGTAGTCCAGGAACACCGTGCCTGGGTTCTTCCATGTCTTTTTCCTGAGACGGACCCTGAAAACACACACATACTATATGATAAACACCTACACTCCTATCCCTATTTTGTATAAATGTGTAGTAACAAAGTCGAACCTGTCAATGCTGAGGTCAAGCTTGCACTGCTCTTTCAACTGTGGGAGCAGTTCCTCTTTAGACTGTCTGACAGTCATGCCCTTGGCAAACACTGTGTCCACAAGGAACTTGCAGGGCTGGGAAACAGGGACGTGAATACATTATCAATATCTGTGATTACAACGTTCAGCAACTCAGTCAGGTTTTTATTTCAGCTGCAATCTTCTTGAGGGCGGTAACAGAAAGGTCTTTCAGTCCTTACCTCTGGCTCATTCACTAGCAGTTGATACACTTTCACTCTGTATTCACCCTTTTTCAGTGCTCTTCCTAGTCGAATAGTTATCTATGGGGAGAAATAAAACGTTTAGTCTCAGTTCAAATATTGGCTCACCTTAACAGAAACTACAAAAATGTAACAAATGAATTGTAAAATTGATCCTGACCTTGTTATCATCAGAAAACGATGAGAGTGTTTCATTGAGCCGTACGCTCTCAAACTCCTGGTTGTTGGCGTACACCCGAAACACCTTGAACTGGGTAGAGGTGACTCCCACATAGGGCTCCAGGTTCTGTTTAAATGCTGCTAATGTTATTCTCTTGTCCACATGAACGACTAAACCTGAAGCAAATCACAAGAAACAACAATTAAACCCGTTGTCAGATTCTCTGACCTCTTGAGGAAAGAAAAAAGTTGCAGCCTACTGTCAGTAATAGCTCAATCCAGCTGAGCAAGAAAATAATCACTGGCAAACTTTAAATATGTAATGTGAACTAATTTGGTGATTAATCCTTTAGACTCAATTTTAAATTTTAAATAAAAGGTTCATACATTTGTGTGCATCCCACGTGGAGTCATCCTGAGAGCAAGGCTCTGTTCTGAAGTACATGTACTGAGCCTCTGCCTTGCTCTTCCCGTTGTCGTCATACTCGCTGTCTGTTCCAGAGTCTTCTTCAGCGGTGTCCCAAGTCTCCTTTTTACCCTCATGGGCTTTAGAGCGACGGCTACTTGTGATGCTGTGTGAGTCCAAGCCGTTGGCGAGCTGTATCGGCCCGCTGTCTGCATTACACAGTGTGTCACTACTGTGGCTGGAGCTCAGGATGTCGCTGTCCACTGAGCTGGTGCTGCGGTCATTGTTCACCTCAGAGTCTGAGCGCTCCTCGCAGGCAAAGTGGTTCTCAGGGTCAGAGGAGGCGCCGCTGCTGCCCCCGGCCCTGATCCGGTTCTCTAACTCTCTGTTG